AGAAAAAAAGGAAAGTAAATAAAAATTATTCTACGCCAATGATTCTCGTATCAAATAATCGGAGGTTGGCATCTACAAATATCGACTTTCGCGTAAAAAGGTATTTGAATTAAGAGTATGCATGGCAACTTGAATAGTGAAATGTTGAGTAACTGAGGATTTTCATCTAAAAGTGTCGATTTTCACGAAAAAAAACATTTTCACTATTTAAGTAAAATTAGCGTGAATAAGTCCCTCTTAGTTGTAAAAAAAAAGATGAAGATAGGAGGAGTAATGCTATAAATTGACTATATCATTTCCTTATTTGTGAAATTAGATTAGGGTGAGAGATTAAGTTTAACTTGTTAAAATTAGGATATAATTATCTTTCCTTTACTTGATATTATAAGTATTTAGTGTAATTTGAATAATTGTATAATGATTATTTTTCAAATCTTGAGGAATTAAATTTGACAAAAGTGCATATATTGTTTCACCTATTGAAACATTATAGTTGATTATGTGTGAACTACTTGAGGACAAGCAATGATTTAAGTGTGGGGGAATTTGATAAGTGATTAATTTACGCAATAATTGTATGACTTTTTATGTTGTTTTTAGTCACTTTAGTTATATTATTGGAAGAAAAAGAATCATTTTGGTTATAATTAGTGAAAAATACTTTTGAGTGATTAAATAAGGTTTTTATCACCTTTTACTTGGATTTTGTGCATTTTGACAGTTTTGACATATTTTCGTATTTCGACTATAATTTGAGGTACAGTGATCGGATTGAGATAATTCTTCAATTTGAAGATAAGAGATAGATCTACAACTTTGGTGAAGACATTTGGATCCAGTTTGAAAGTTTTCCAAGTCAAAAAGCCGAATTACAGTGGTTAATTTTCTATGGTTAAAACTGAAATCGGGCAGTGAGCAGGCAAGGGTATTTCGGTCATTTATCAGCCTACACAAATCCAAATGAGGTGATTCTTGATGCATTGGAAAGCTAATTCAAAGAACTACAATTTGTATGGTTTGGTCAAGAGCTAGTTCAGTCTCTGTCATCAAGAAAAGTTCGGTTGAAGTTGAGGTAAAATCGGAGTAGAGCTGGAAATTGAACAAAAGTGCACAAAAGTGTCACTGTAGCAATCCGGCCGGAGCTTGACCGGATTTGTAGCCGGATTGTGGTTAGAGAAGGCTGCCCTTTACGTCGAAAACTCAATTTCACCTCCACTAAATCACATGTAATGCTAGACTTGTGAGAAACATCACCAGCTGTAAAAGAAAGGTGGAGGTCTCATTTCTTGACCACCTTTCATCTTTATATAGTCAAAATTTGCAAGATTGAAAAAATATAGAGAGACATACGGGAGAATTTGGAGAGTGCAGAAATGTAGCTCTTTCATCTTCTGAGTGTTAGATTAGTTTAGGTTTAGCTAGTTAGTTCATCCTTCTTGTTTATTAGCTAGATAAAGAAGATGTTGGAGGATGAAAAAGGCAAGGAGATGAACTCATGGGACAAGGGTAACATTCCTTTCCAACTCTTTATCTTTTGTACTTGATTCCCAGTTTAGTTAATATACAAGTTCTGGATTTTGTTTTTATGATGTTTTTCTAAAGTTTATGCCTTGAGTTTGGTTGAACTTCCTATGATTGTTAGTGTTTATTATTTGGCTATTTGATTGCTATTATTTGAGCAAGTTATTTAGCACTTTAGCTCTTTAAATCATGATTAATTTGGTACCATTAATTGTGATTATCTAAGGTGTTGTTTCTGCAATGAAAATTGAAATTTAACACTGGTTCAAGTAGCGCTAAACATAGGGAGTACACTCATGGGAATAGAGGTGCACCTATGTGATTTTGGTGATTAATTTCATGTAATTTCATTGAAGAAATGAACTTGTAGCTAATTTCATAACCATAAGAATAGGTATGGATTAGTTATGAATATAGGTTATTCACTACGAAAGTAAGATTCATATGCATAAGGAAATTACACCATAACTAGCCAAAATAGTGGTAATCAATGATCCAAAAATAGCATTTGCAAGAATAGTTAAGGATACCATAACCTAAGTAGCTTTCATTTGTTATTTTCTTGTATAAGTTCAGTAGGTTTTACTTGTTATAATTCATTGATAGTATAAATAATAGAGAAGATTTAGTAGTGCCGGTAATTGCAATCTTCCTCGTGGGATCGACCCGATATATACCCTAAACTACTAGTTCACCTGTATACTTGCAGTGAAACGGGTGTGTTTTGATTTTTTTAACTTGTACGTATAGCAAAAACTCATCATATTTTTGGCGCCATTACCGGGGATCGAACCCGGGTCGTCCGCATGACAGGTAAAAATACTTACCACTATACTACAACAACCCTTAATATTCTATACTTGCTCACAATTCATATACTTGCAATAAATCGCGCGTGTAGGTGTTTAGAAATTTATAAATGTAAAACTTGATTGTGAATGAGTTAAATTGATATATATACCTTGCACACGTCAAGTTTTTGGCGCCGTAGCCGGGGAAGATTTGGCAATATCGGTGTGAAAAATAATTTTATTAGTTTAGGCATTATATGAGTTATAATGTGAATGTTATTTTTTGTTATTTTTGTGTTTTATATTTGTTTGTGTTTTATCATCTATTCTTCTTACTAATTTTTCTCTTAAGTTATTTGAAAGAAAATTTTGGTGATGAGGAGAACAGGTCAATTTGGAGGACAATGCTTGAGAAGTGGAAGATTGACAATGAATGGTTACCAAGTGCAAAACTCCTTCAATAGAGGTAACCAAGAATTTACTGAATGTATGTCTTTTGAAGATGGTTTAAGATGCTTAAAGGCTAAAATTGATGTTATGATGCTACAAGTTCAAATGGACACAATTATGCATGAAATTGAGTAAGGGAGGAATATTAATGTTTTTAATTCTTACCGTGTAATTTGTGACTTGTGTGTAGGATATCATGCTACTAATACATGTATGTAAACACAAAATATGGATTATTATGATGAATTAGAGCATTACAATCCTTGTTTTGATCGATATAGTGCTAATTGGAGCAATTCTCCAGCTTATGGTTGAGATAATCAATGTGCATATAGTGATTATTCGTATTTTTATGATTACCAATCTGAAAGTGTCCAATGTGAATCAAAACCATCTTGGGAGTTGGCAATAGAGAAGTTAGCTAATACACCTCTACCTTGGGAGTTAGAAAGTGAACCATTAGCTAATGATTCTAATGCATCTTGGGAGCTAGTTGCAGAAAATTTTTCTAATCAATTTGATTTAGCAATAGAAAAGCTAGCAAATACAACTTTCGATCGTTTTGATAGGATTGAGGAAAGAATAGATGAATTAACTTCTCACTTTGATAGAATACATGAGCAATTGAATGCATTGTGTGAAGTTATTTCTTCTAATAATTTGCAAAATGATCCTAACATGAATGGTGGGAATGTTATATGTGAAAATAGATTATATTTGGATGAAAATGATTAATTTCAATTGTATTTCAATGAGCAACTATCCATTTCATATGATAATACCTTTGAAACTAACTTTGAACCTCAAGAGGTGAGTTGTAATGACTCATTTTTCACTTTTCTTGAGGAATGTATAAAAAGTATAGGTTTTAAAGGTATTCCTGCCCAAGATACTCTCATGGCATTTCCTTTGGTGAATTCTCAAGTGGTGCTTATTTAAGATAATATTTATGAAACACTTGGGATAGTTAAGTCATTTTCATCTCTCACATCATTAGATCATGTGGCTTTGGCTATAAAGTCAACATTTAATGATCCACCACGACCTATAATGATGGATTATTCGTTAACTAAACCTCCTTGAAAAATGAGGTGAAATAGTCAAGCTAATGACTATAAAGAAGTGCTAGTTGGGAGGCAACCCAACGATTTCTTAGTTTTAGTAAGTTTTAGTTGTTTAACTAGTGTTTTTGTATGTTTCATAGGTGGCAATGGGAATGGTTTATCCAAATTGTCCAAGTGCAAAAGAGATTTGAAGGAAGCAAAAAGGGAGTTTTTATATTCATTTGATGCAATTCATGTATTTAAGGTGCTTTACTCTAAAGATATATTGTGCAAAAGAGATTTGAAGGAAGCAAAAAGGGAGTTTTAATATTCATTTAATGCAATTCATATATTTAAGGTGCTTTACTCTAAAGATATATTGATGCATGAGTTCATGTTTCAAAGTGCAATTGATTGAGAAAGCACATTTTTCATGCTTAAGGTGAATTTTTCTTGAAAAAAATGAAAAAAGTCGAAAATTGAGAGTGTTAAAAGCTTGATTAATTGGAAAACGGAAGGAAAAAGTGCATAAATAAAAAATTTTCTGCACTAAATTCGGCCTAATATCCGGCCATAAAATAGTCGGATACATGGCCGGATTAACAGGGAAAGAAAACGAAAATTTTTCAAGCTACTAGCTTGTATCTGTCCGAAAATCCGGCCATATTTCGGCCGGATATGCAGAAATGTAAAAAAAAAAAAAAAAAATCTATCCGGCCGGATTGACCTACGAATTTGAAAAAATTTTCCTGGCTTACTGGCCAGAATTCGGCCTATAATCCGGCTAGAAACCGGCCAGATTCTAGCCAGTTTTACGTAACTGTGAGAACTCAAACCAACACATGAATAAATAAAGATATGTATTTTAGGTGTTACACCATTCGTTAAAACTATTTTTTTTATAGCCTTACTTTGAAATTTAGTAGTCAGTGGATGACTTTGCTTTCTTTGTTTTTGGAAATGAATGTGAGTTGCACTTGTATAACCAAGTTTATTTTGATAAGTTAGTGGGGTAAATTATAGAGATAAGGAAATTAAAGGGGCTAGGTATCAATAATTTCATAGTTGGGAGATTTTTTGATTAAGAAGTAATCCTAGCAAGACAAGTGTTGCACATCCCTTAAGTCTTGACCAAGACATTAGCTAGTGTATATCTTATAACTTGGTCTCTTGAAGAGTTGAAGAGAAAGGGAGAGGGCCGTGGATAAGGAGAGAAAAAGGAGAGGGAAAGCTTCATTGTTTTCATCTTGAGTTATAGCAAAGAACTTGGAGGAATCAAGAGGGGAAAGCCATAGCACTTCAATCTTTCACTAAAACTTGAACAAGGAGGTGGTTTGCTCCAGGACGAACTAAGTTTTTCTTGCTTCTAAGTTCCACCTTTGGTCAAGAGGTAAAACTAGAAACTCAAGCTTTCTTTTATGAACTTGAAGGGCCTTTGATTATTGATGTGATTAGAAGACTAAAGATATGATTTTTATGAAGTTCTATGGACTTGAAGTTGGGTTACCTTGGCTGAAATTGAGGGTTTCATTTGTTCATGTCACTAGTCGTTTGATTCGTAAGTAATACTTGTTAATTGATGGACCTCTTGTACAAGGGGAGAAGTATGGTTAACTTTTAGATGATTCATGACTAATCTTTCTATTTTGGTTGATGATTGATTGCTGAAATTTAGGGCTTCATTGATACGAGTGATTGAATGGTTAGTTTGCAAGTTCGAATTGGAGCAGGTACCTTGGAACAGTTTCGGGAGAATAACCATAACTTGGTGTAGGAAGGTCAGAATTGAGTTCCGTTTGTTGCGTTGGAAACTAGATTCATGGGTATAGAAACCATGAAAATTTTAGACCTTGATTCTATTTGTGAGAATTATGGTAAATTTCCAAAGTTTGCTGATTTTCGAGACTGCTCTGCTTTAATTTTATAGCTGCTGGACTGTATAGCTAAAATTTGATTTGGTTGTGATCCGAAGCTCTTAAAGTGACCTTCTAAACATATTTAGATCTTTGAATGCAGTTTTTTGTGTCAAAATTTGGTGAAGTTTGGACCAATGTAACCCCTGTTTCAAATTTTGTCAAGAATGTTGCCGGTGTGAAGGGTTTGGGTAAGTTTCTTTAACAGTTTAATTCTGCCCTGTTTTGTGACTAAATCTGAGCTGCGAATTGCTCCATGTTGTAGATCGAAACAGCTTTTGTCCAAAACATAAAAGTGGCAGAAAATTGAGTTATCTTTCTACCTAAAAAATTTCAGATCAATCGGATCATTGTAACCTGAGTTACGGCCAGAATCCTAGTGTCCGCGCAAAGCCTTATTTCTGGTCATGATTTTGCGGAAGCCTCTGACCATGACTGTTCGACCCTAAAAACGTGAGAACTGGGTGTTGATGTCTTCATAAGAAATGTATTTCTATGTCTTAGCTTTGAAACGGCACAAAATTCGCCTGAATATGAGATGTGTAGCCACAGTAGTGCTCAAAACACCGTAGGGTGTCGAAACTGCCATTGTTTTTACGTCTTGATTACCTTTCTTTTACCCCCTTTTCCTTGGTCCGACTTTGCATGTACCTTATAAGTATCATAACCCTGGTTTCTTATGACCTAACTAAGTGTTCAAAACATGATTACTAGTTGCACCTATTGACTTTCAAATAGTGACCAAAAACAAAAACAAAAAAAAAAACTAGAAAACTAGTTACGCTATATTTTTTTTCCTAAAGGATCTTTTTGTTTTGATCCAAAGTGGCTTGTATGTTCTTAGAATGTGTTTAGGTATCTCACATATTTCTGGGATTTTGAATCAAGTGTTCTTGCATATGACTTTTCAATTTGATTGACTAAACCCTTAAATGTGGACGTTTTCTTCCTTAGTGTTTAAGTTGAGCTTGATGGCTATGGCTATCTTCTTATACGAGTATTGTGATTTGAATTTGATAAATTCTTGATATAATATCTATGTACTTTAACCACAGAGTTCAAGGGCGAGCCGAGGGACGATTCGGTGATTAGCTCCGATTACCTTCGCTAGTGGTGAGTGTTCCTTGCATGCATGTATGCTATGTGACTTTCTTGTATAATACTGGATAACTGTCATACCATTATTAGACGGGTGTGTACTTTATCGCACTCGACCTACTCAAAACTGAATTTCAGTGTTTTCACTGATACTGACTGCTACTGACCTACTGCACTAACTGCTACTGACCTACTGCACTGTCCTTCTAGTCCGAGACACTCGAGCAGGTCCTCCAAATGAGCACCTATCTCCTGGACACTCGAGACACTGTTCAGTTGAGAGGCTCGAGCAGTTCTTCTCGAGAACACCATCTCCTAGTTGAAAGTGCCACTACACATGTGATTAAATTATGTGTTACAATGTCTGTGTATTCATTTCATCCAATGATCTCTTATTAATTTTAAGTGTTTGGAACTGGCGGTCATGACGGACTGGAGTAGCTTCAAGAGTATCCTTTGACATAAATTGACTTATTTTGTCCTTGTTCAACTGATTATATTGTGCAACTGGTTCTTGTTGTAACTGAAATTGTTTAACTGTTGTCTACTTCTTTCTCAAAATTGTGATATTTGCGTGACTGTTAGGGGCCTCACTGAGTTTTAGCTCACTCCTTTAGTTTGTTTTCCTTAACAGGGGGCGGAGGACCCTGAGGAGCAAGTTGCAGGTCCTGAACTTTCGATACTTTTGTATAAATGATTTAGAGAGCATTTTGTAGCTTTAGTTTTTGTTACACTCAAGGTCGGGTAGTTAACATGAACATAAATTTTGACGGTATATACTAAGGTGATTGTAAATTAGAATTTTGTACTTTGGAATTGTAAGTGGAGAGTTTGGTTGTAATGCAAGTACTTTGTTTATGTATGTTTATCTTTTGACTTAAACTCTAAGTTTGGAATGTTATTTGGTTTATTAATATCCCTGTGGAGTTTGAGATGTAATTTATCTGAGGACTATAGTGAGTCCCGACGAGAGTTGGGCAGGCGGTCCGCCAAACCCTTTAGTTTGCCTTAGGGGGAGGTGGGGCTGTTACAGTAACAAAGGGGAATCCGCGAACGGATTCCCCAATTTCCTCCTTCCTTTCTTCTTCAATACACACACACTCACATTTAAAACACACACTACTCATAAAATTCATCTTTTCGCCATTTAATCTCTAAACTAAATGAACCAAAACACTCCCATTTCCCTTTTGAGTTGATTTTATAGTTTAAAACCCTTCAAAAATAAGTTTTAATTCGGATTTGAGTTTGAAAAGAACAAGGGTTTCAAATTTTTGAACTCTTGATTTGGAGCTAAATTGGAGTGAAATTTTTGGGGGTTCTTCACCATTTGCATCCATAATCATCAACAAACAAGTTTGAGATAACAAATCTTCACCAAATGTTGTCATTTGAATTTTGCCAATTTTCACTTTTTTCTAATTTTTGGGCAATTTCGAATTTTTTTCATTTTGTGAAGTTTGATACTTTTTATTGTGCTTATTGAGCTTATTGATGATTATTGGTGAAGTTTAACTGATAGGTTTGTGATTATTTGGTGAATTTAGCAATTGTTATCTAATTTTGAGTATTAATTTGACTTGATAATTATTAACTAAATTCTTAAGCTAATTGGATTAAAGAAAAATGTAGAAGATTGATGGATTGCTCTAGGATATTTACATGCTAAATTTAGGCTTAATTGGCCTATTCTTTGAATTTTGACATGTTTATTCTAGAAATTTTCGTGAAAAGAAAAATTAATGACCTTTTTAAATTTAAAATTCATAGTTAAGGTGTTATTAACACTTAATTAAGCTTATTTAGGTCATTCGGGAGTAAGTTGTGCATTTGTTTAATTGCTTCCTCTAATGGGATTTATATACTTAAATGTTTAATTGAAAAAAAATGGGGCATTTGTTGTTGATTGTGATTCTTACTTATGGTGTTAATTGCTACTTATTATGTAAGTAAGTTGATAAGTTTGTCTCTTTAAAGATAAAGGTAAACGTGAACAAGTATTCGTTTTCTTTATTTAGCAATGTAGCTATTAAATGAAGTTAACGTCTAATAATTTTTAGGTACAATGGCTCGCACTAAGAAAGTTGGGGTGAAATCTCCCCCTCCCAATAGGAGAGGAGAAGTTTCGACGTCTAGACCACCACGTATGAAAAGGAAAGCAAATAGACATCTTGTGCTTCGAGATGAACCATCATCCGAAGAGGAGACTCAAAAACAAATGGAGCAAGAAGAGGAACAAGAAGAAGAAGTTTCTTATGATAAGTTGCGCTTCACCTCCGCCGAAAATGAAGCTTGGTACAATACTAGAAAGGGAGCTAAGGTATTGGTGGAGAAAGATGTCACTCCGGATGTTGAGTAGGTCTACCATCTCAAGGCCTCCTTTGCCAAATTGGGATGGGAAAACTTCTTTAACATCCTAAACTTCTATTATGAGACATCCGAGTCATAGTCTAGGCAACATTCGAGACATTCTATTAGGAAGCATTATCACCAACCACATGCGGATAGTCTTTCGCAGTAACGACATTAAACATGCTTTCCCATATCCTCGCTTCTCGACCTTGGAATTTCAAAGGGTTGGAGTGGATTTTTCTAACGCTATCCCTACAAGTCTCAAGAAGAAAGATGTCTTTACACTGAGTTTTTGCACGTTTATTTTGAAGAGTAAATATGCAGGTGGTTCTTCGACTCAAGAAGGTGCTCAAGGAGACATTAGACAAGAGTAAGAAGCTGAAATTGAACGAATTGAAGAACCTCAAGGGGTTGAACAACTACTCCACCGGTCTCAAATGACCCGTCTTCCTCCCGTCGTCCAACCTCACCTCAAGACACTCGGTCGTTTCTGAAAAAGATAATGGATAAGCTGCTTTGTGTCGAGATTGAGGTGAAGAAAAGTCGACAAGAGAACAAACGGAACTCCGAACGTCTTCGTTGCATTGAGACCAAGTTGGGTATTGAAACTCCTCAAACTTCACCCTCTTCAACTGACCAAGCAACTAATTGAGGGAGTGCTCGTCACCATTTGACATTGCCGCTAGCTTTTCTTTTATTTTCTATAGTACTTGGGATGTTGACTTTTAAGTGGTTTTCTTTATTTCTTTTGTGAGAACTAATCCAAGTGATCTACGTCTCTATTGTGGTTTTAATGATTTCAGAGATTTAAGGTTGGAAATTCATCACTCGACCATGGATTTGGATAGCGCAAGTTCATATGAGTAGTATTTTCTTTACTCTTTATTTATTTTTCTTTTCCCCACATTGAGGACAGTGTGAAGTTTAAGTGTGGAGGAGGAAATATTTGAACTTGCATTTAATGCTATGTGATGATATTTTGTGGATTTAAATGTTTAGAAATGTTGGAATTGTGTTTGAAATACTTGCCATGTGAATAATTTACTTGAAATTGGGTTTGTTGGCAGAGAGTTTCGTCCATTTATAAGGGGAAACTCTGTCAAAATTTTTCTTCAAATTTTTTTCAATATTTCATTATGGCCCAAAAACTCTTCAAATTTTTGCATTTTTATTCAAAAAGAGCTAATTTGTTCCAATTTTAAATGTCTAATTCTTCCATTTGTTGAAACGTTATATGTATTTTAGAAAGCTTAGTCCTCATTTAACTTGGAAATGGTTATTATCCAATTAGGATTTTTAAATTTTAGAAAGTATATTCGGTAAAGTGAGGAAAATTATGCCTATAATTTTGCATTTTAAATGTGATTTCTCCTCTTTACTTAATTTTTCAAATAAGTGATTGATATAGTCGATAAAGGCTATACTCCTCCTTTGATTATTCTTATATATTTTCGATGAGGGAAAATTTATTGTCTTAAAAAAAGAAAAAAAGAAAGTAAATAAAAATTATTCTACGCCAATGATTCTCGTATCAAATAACCGGGGGTTGGCATCTACAAATGTCGACTTTCGCGTAAAAAGGTATTTGAATTAAGAGTATGCATAGCAACTTGAATAAGTGAAATATTGAGTAACTGGGGATCTTCACCTAAAAGTGTCGATTTTCGCGTAAAAAGACATTTTCACTATTTAAGTAAAATTAGCGTGAATAAGTCCCTCTTAGTTGTAAAAAAAAAAAAGAAGATGAAGATAGGAGGAGTAATGCTATAAATTGACTATATCATTTCCTTATTTGTGAAATTAGATTAGGGTGAGAGATTAAGTTTAACTTGTTAAAATTAGGATATAATTATCTGTCATTTACTTGATATTATGAGTATTTAGTGTAATTTGAATAATTGTATAATGATTATTTTTCAAGTCTTGAGGAATTAAATTTGACAAAAGTGCATATATTGTTTCACCTCTTGAATCATTATAGTTGATTATGTGTGAATTGCTTGAGAACAAACAATGATTTAAGTGTAGGAGAATTTGATAAGTAACTAATTTACGTAATAATTGTATGACTTTTTATGTTATTTTTAGTCATTTTGGTTATATTATTAGTAGAAAAAGAATCATTTTGGCTATAATTAGTGAAAAATGCTTTTAAGTGATTAAATGAGGTTTTATCACATTTTACTTGGATTTTGTGCATTTTGACAGTTTTGACATATTTTCGTATTTCGACTATAATTTGAGCTACAGTGATCGGATTGAGATAAATCTTCAATTTGAAGATATGAGATAGAGCTACAACTTTGGTGAAGACATCTGGATTTAGTTTGAAAGTTTTCCAAGTCAAAAAGTCGAATTACAGTGGCTAATTTTCAATGGTCAAAGTTGAAACAGGGCAGTGAGCAGGCAAGGGTATTTCGGTCATTTCTCAGCCTACACAAATCCAAATGAGGTGATTCTTGATGCATTGGAAAACTAATTCAAAGGGCTACAATTTTTATGCTTCGTCGAGAGCTAGTTCAGTCTCCAACATTAAGAAAAGTTTGGTTGCAATTGAGGCAAAATTGGAGCAGAGCTGGAAATTGAACAAAAGTACACAAAAGTGTCACTGTAGAAATCCGGCTGGAACTTGGTCGGATTTCTGGCCGGATTGTGGTCAGAGAAGGTTGTTCTTTACGTTGAAAACTCAATTTTACCTCCACTAACTCACATGCAATGCTAGACATGTGAGAAACATCACCAGCTGTAAAAAGAATGTGGAGGCCTCATTTTTTGACCACCTTTCATCTTTATATAGCCAAGATTTTCAAGATTGAAAAAAATATAGAGAGACATACGAGAGAACTTGGAGAGTGCAGAAATGTAGCTCTTTCATCTTCTGAGTGTTAGATTAGTTTTGGTTTAGCTAGTTAGTTCATCCTAGGGGTGAAATCGAGCCGAGTCGAGCTCGAGCAGTGGCGCACTCGAGCTCGAGCTCGACACAGATCACTAGAGCTCGAGCTCGAGCGAGCTCGACAACCAAAGATCGAGATCGACTCGATGAGAGTGTATGCAGACTCGAACTCGACTTGATCGAGCTCGGCATGTCATTCGAGCTCGATATCAAGTCGAGTACTCGAGCTCGAATGAGCTCGATTGAGCTCGAATTGATCCTGGTTCCTGCGCAAATCTAAAGAATCTAGTCTTTGTATCTTAAATGCAACACTACTAATTTGTACTAAACAATAAACTAAGTTGCACTAATCATTCGAATGAAAGTACATTAATATCAATTCAAAGAAACAAAACTTAGAAGCCAATTAAAGTCTTGGAGCCACATGGACAAAACTTAGAAGCATGCCATTGCATACAGAGGACAGACAACCTTCGGCAGAGGTTTCAAACCTTCAACAAGCTTGGGGAATCAGATGCAACCTTCCACGGCACTCTGCCCAGCAACACGCAGACAGGGGAGACAGCAACTATAGCAATGATAG